TCAACCATCACTTTTTCAAGAAACAAATTTACGTAATAAGACGTGCTTTTTGTTATCATATGCGATGTCCGAAATCCGATACTGATGAACAGTGTGCTATATGCTAACCCCCCTCAACTGACTACTTGATTGAGTACACAAGAGTGAGAGAGAATGTGTATTGGGTTACCGAATGAATTGCACAAATACTCAGTCATATATATACCACTCTTTCCTCAAAAAATCGACTGATCGACCCAATTAACTGCACTTAATCTTTAGGTGACTTTTGATTGCCATCGACTGACCCTTTTGCTACTTCTGATTGGCTCTCCATATTACTTTTAATGTCAGACTTCACTGAACCAACAAATATGTTGTAATCTATTTAAATACAAACTAGATGTTGTTATTTGATTTCTATTATCTGTCCCACAACTTTATTATTACTTAGATACTTGAAAATACTCAAGAAACGTTCTGTTAGTGTTGTGCCTTTTGAACTAATAAAAGCTTTGCTTTTATTGTAACTCAGGACAACATTATCACATACTTCATCATAGTTACTAATGATTATTTACAAAACCTCATAAAAGTACTATTCGTTTGATATTGAAATGCACTAAAGATTTTCTATAAATTGAAATGAACTAAACTGTGATATTTCTAGTAACTTTTTATATAAAATTTACTGTAACTGTAGTGTGTTCTACATATACTGACGTAAGTAGTATATGACGTTACTCATGAACAGAAGGTCTGGCAGCAGAGAGACAAGAGAATCGAACAGTAAAGAATGGGAACAGAATGCAATTTGTATGAAAATGCAGGAACAATGAATTCTGAGTCATTATGAGACAATTGATGGACAATTTGCAAATTACGTATTTACTATTTGATTGTTAAATTTTATTAACAAGTCCTGTAATGTTGAGTCAAATACATTCGATTGTCCCCACTGGTGTTCTGTTCACTACATAACCACTATAGCGTATCAACATAATCTAACTTCCTTTACACTGGTGTCCAAAGAACCAATCCCTAATTATACAACGTTAGAAAAACTAATCTTTAGACTGAAATTGATTCTTATTAATTTCTTTTCTTTTTTAATATTACTAACCTTCTGTTAATTCTATGCTAACATAACACTTTTTAAATCTAAATTTTGTTCAAACTAACAGAGTGGTGAATGTACAATAGAAAATTTAAATGAATTATCCTCTCTTGGATTTACTGTTAATCCAACAAAAGTAAGTATTTTATTACTTTAACAGTAAAATCAATAACAATAATTAATTCATTAATTAACACTCTTGAATAATTTTTATATATTCTGAATAAAAACTAGTTTTACATGAAAATTATTTTGGATCATAAAGGTCAGTTTAGTACTGATCATAAATTATTATTATTCTCTGAAGAAGTGGCTTACACTAAGTCACGAAACGTCAGAAAATCTAATTTTTCTATTCATTGGGATATTACAAATATATTACTTTTATTTATTTTAAGTCAAGTATACTATTTCAATAATCAACTTATTATTCTACTATGATTATTTACAGTGTTTTTTTTCTTAATAAGATCTAAATATTATATCAATGAAATTAAGAAATTTCAGCATCTATTCCATAACTGTAGTTTTCCATATACATAATTTAATGAATAGTAAATAACTATTTTGTTACATGTTGAGTATTACTATGTCTTCTTGTAAGAATTAGTGACCAGTGGAGTTCAACTGGGTCTATTGTGAGATAGTAACTCATTGAAGACAATGATGGATTAGTTAAAGTTAGATGCCAGCTCAGTGGTCTAGAGGTTAAGCATTCTCACGCGAGACCGATGGGTCCTGGGTTCGAATCCAGTGAGGCGGGATCGTGGATGCGCACTGCTGATGAGTCGTACATTAGAACGAAACGGCCTTCCAGTGCTTCCAGGTTTTCCATGGTGATCTAGTTTCAATTGACTCATGATCTCAACTATTGAAATTCTAAGAATTTCTTAGAAGGTTTTAATTAATCATTCACTAATTTTTTTTCATTTTCTAAAATGCTTCTCATACAGCTGATTTTAGAACCAGGAACTGAACAACCGATTATGTTCACTTGGACTCCTAATCCAGATGTGAGGGTACGTTTACAATAGCTTTGACTGTTACGTATTATGACTGGTTTCAACATTGATTAAATTTATGCTTCCATATAATTTCTTTATCCAGATTATACGTTTTTTTGGAGTAAACAGTATCCGTTTCGTGATGAAATACTTATAGCATTATACTTGGATTAAATGCGAGGTTACAAATCTTCATCCTATATATATATCATGCTGGATACAGTTTAGTTTAACTAATGAATAGCTATCATTATGAAGTTAAAGCTTGTTGCTCTGTTTGCCTATAAAGTCAAAAATTATCAACTGTCAAAGCCAGTTACTCATTAGAGAATAGATTATTCTTGATCAAATAATAGATTGAATCTTTAAGTTATATTATTATTGGAAATGAGAGATTAATTTGTTACATTTAGCCATAATTTTCCCTCTTTCACCGATTTTAATCTGTAAGCTAGGAATACAAATCTAAAATACACTACTTGATAGTTTTGATCATAGTATGCAAATGGAAATTATAAAGTACTTTAATCCCTGTTAATGTTTTGAAACAATGAAAATACTCAGTAGATAAATAACTGAATGTTATGATTTAATTCTCTTTAACTTTTAACTTCCCATTTGATTCAGTTCTTGAAAACTGTCTTTTTATAATAATGACTATTCCAAAGTAGAATAGCCATCACAATAGTATGTTTTATTAAAATAAACAAGCTTAAAACAGTACAGATATGATAAATGAAAAATGGAGTCTTCTGTTGATTCTAGATTCTTTGTAATACGATGGGAACCCATTTAAGAAAATTATTTGTTTGGCCGAGATATTCTAAAGGTACTCACAACATGCTATCATATTTTCTCGACAAATAAGTTAACAGGTATTTCCATAATGTTTAAAAGTGGCAAGCAATATGTATAAGTGCCTACATGGACATCGATTCGTGTTAAGATGCAAGTTAATTCTTATGCCTGGAAGCTATTCCCCTGAACTTCACTAAACGTTATTACATCGTTCATATGAAATACACTATTTAACATTAGGTACTCATCTTGTACATGTAGAATGAATGTATCATTACATAAATACTTAATTGAATACATAGTATAGATATCATCCACTCAGTAAAAAGTACCCACTTATTTATATTAACAAGCGTCGTACCTCTAAAAAATATTTAGCACCCCTTTTTTCAAGTTCTCATTGTTTTACTCATAAACATTTCACTCCTGTTTTCGGGTTGTTTAGACTGGATCGAATGTGAAGTCAATGGCTATAATCCAGCTTCGATCTGATGTGACTATAAATCATCAAGTCTTGTTGAGAGGTGTTTTGTGAAATCATCTACAATTACTCAAAATTGTCAACCACATTAACTAATAAGCATACTTTTCATACTCTTATAACTTTTTAAAAATCTTTTTATTTCAACTACAACATATTGAGATAGAGCAAGAATATGTTATTGATTAAATTTTGATTTCTTTTTATTTTCTTATAAAGTAATTTCATGATATGCTCACCATAAGATTTGCTCTAAATGAAATTCCCAATCATTACTTAACAAAACTGTAGTTTTGTGGGTAATCGTACACCTAATAATTCAGAAAGTTAAAATAACCATTTCTAATCATCTAAGAACGTTTTCTAATGGGGCCAAAGCTTTAGATCCCTGTAACTTTTAGCACCCATTGATTTTAACAAAGACACCACATAGTGTAGGTGATAAGAAGTTGGTGTTGATGTACTTAATCCCATGGTAGAAAATTCTAAATAGTGTCTTTATTTATGAGGACCCTTGAAAATCTTTAAAAGTTCAATATCAAAAGTAACGGGAAGCTTTCTATGATTGAAAATTCATAGTCATTAGAGATACATGACATAAAAAACTTTAAAATGAAAATGTATCTGTCGACTGTAGTAATTAAATAATAGAATATAAGAAGTGTCAGTTCTAATATTATGAATACTAAAGAATTCTCCATATTTTATCAAATATAAATTATTTATTTCAATTTGATACAAGCTATATTACGAAATGATAGTTGTAAAGAACATAGTACAACTTTTTCGTCTTAGTCTTAGACACCTTAACACCATACACCCACCATGTATAGAGAATTGATTTCGCAACACCTAGGTCTCGTTGCACTTGAGTAGTAACCAGGATCTGTTTTAGTGCACAGTAATAAATGCTAAATTTATCAACCTGAAGTTCAAAAAAATTAGTACTTTCGTCAGTACCGATTTTACACAATTTTTTTGAATCTATAATAATTAACTTAAAAATGTAAATAGTCTAACAATCTTTAAGAAAATTTCTTTAAAAATCTTTATAGAATATTGTCATGATAATTAATATAAGAAATCCATATGGATTATAACAAATGAAATGAAAGTTAAGAATAATGCAAAGTATATATATATATATATATATGAGATATTTATTCAAACAATCACTGAAGCATAAGTTCACTAGTTGTAATATATACTATATAATTATGAATCTAGAACTATATTGCCTGATAACGAAGTTATTGAGTGAATTATTCACAAAAAGACTCTTTAGTTTTTTGAATATACGATAAGCATTAAATTTAAATTTGATGGGATTCGTTTTATTGTATTTCGAAGAAAATCATGTAATAAGATTATATCACCTGAAATGATTTTTGTTTTAATCATAGAATCATCATTATACATAAACGTTACTTACTCTGAAAGGTTTCAATCAATGTTCATTTATTCAAGTATTTTTTTGCATGCTTTTAAACAATTTCTCCAGTAGAAATTCAAATTCATTCAATCAAATGTAAATAAAATCATTCTTTGGGGGGGGGGTTCGTTAAGAACAATAAGTTTCAATGTAATGTTTAAATTATACAATTTTATTATATAAATAAATTTATGGTATTCTGCGATCATTTTCATGATACCATTCAGAAGAGGTTTGAATACGTTTCTCTAAATCATGTTCTGTTGAATTTAATCCATTTGTAATTTCACATTCTACATTATTAATTTTTGTTAATTTTTCATTGCATTGTTTAGTGGTATTTTGACAACAATGATTAAAATGATTATCATTTGTAGATATGTGTTCTTTTTCACTAGCTAAAATCAATTTCTTTTGAGATTTAATATATAACATATGAGACCTAAGAGAATAGCCCTTATTGACACTAAAATTGCCATACTAATAAAAAATCCACCATATCCAAATCCATCAATAATTGCACCAGAGAATAATGGTGCTAACAGCATACCAATACCGGCAATCATTTTTGTCATAGGAAATGCAATCGATCCATGAACCATCATTATCTCTTCTGAAGTAGCATATAGAAATGTATTGCCTACACCAACAGTAGCACCAGTAAATCCAGCCAGTACATAAACAACATTTAAATCTTCATATGTATTTTGCATAATAACCAAAAATAAAGCTGCAAATAGTGCTCCAATAAAGTAGGCGACTGCTAAATAACCTCGTATACGATCACCGATTAAAGCTCCAAGTGTAAATATGACTGATTCTCCTATACCAAAGTATAAATTAACTCGGGCACCCAATACCAGTTGATCATTTAATGCCTGACTTACATAAGCTGTCATGTTCATTAGTAAACCATATATTACGAGATTATGAAGTAAGCGTTCAAATCCCCAGACGAACACCTGTGGATTATTTTTCAAATGTTCAACTGAGCAAAAAGCCCATCCACGTCCATCACTGGCTTTCGGAGAATTACGTAACAATAAAGGATCCTTTCGTAAGGCTTTGTTCATGGTATTTCTTCAAAAGAATCAGAAAGCTCCAGAATAGCTTGGTTATATTCAAATATATCACGCGAAATAAAAACAATCCCGGCTAAAGATGTCACGAGTAAGAAAAGTAATCCACTTAGTTGAAATGCCACTTGCCAACCGTAGCTTTGTATTAAGTTTGAATACAATGGACCAAATATTAGTACACCATAAGGTCCACCGGAAACAAATGCAGTTGCTAAAACATGAAATCGATGAGATCTGTCAAAATACTCTTCTGTTACAAGACTTGTCCCACATAAAATAAGTGTAGATCCAAGGCCATGTATTAGTGTATGAGTCAGGAATAGATACCCTGGACTAGGCACCACTGCTGATGTCATACAACTTATAAAAATCAATAAACCGGCTAGAAGCATGGTACATCTATATGGTCGATTCCATCGAATTATTGCTGTTGTAGCGAAAGGCATTAAAAGAATCCAACTGCAGCATAACTGTCACCAACCCAATTCAATTCCGTCATGCTTGTGTCATTATAAGCTTTGTGTAGAGCAGCAACAAATATTCCGAATGCCCTTCTTTTTCCCCCTATGCAAACAACATTCAGTGCAGCAACCAACAAAACCAACCATCCTAAATGACGCCATCCATATAGTTTTACACGGGCTCGTGAAAACTTCGCATAAATTGTGTGGAATATGCTTCGAGTTAATTGAGATGTTGCTTCTTCTTTTGTCATAACAAATGTTATAAATCTTCACGATGTATTTTAGTTGTATTACTTTCTTTCTCTTTTGATATTTGTTTTATACTTCTGATGTTTTTCCTTATAAACTCTGTATGTCATTATAGTGGTACGTGTCTGTCTTGTTTTATTCCACCCCTCTATCTTGTTATTATTCTGTCTAACCCTACTAGTGATTCCAACTAAAATGTTTTAGCGAATTTCAGTCACTTATTATATACTTGAGAAATAAAGTTTAGGATAGAAGAAACAAAAAATTTTCTATAGTTTACATAACTCCGATATCAAATATATCCAACTGATCACACAGACAAATACTCAGATTAATATATTTACAATACGAAACATTTCGACTAGTTCAATTTTTAAAATCAAAATTTTAATGACAGGAAGCACAAGATACTTAATGGATTAAGATTAAATTAATGTATTGTTATTGCGCTGATTCAAAAGTGATTTGGCTTTGGAAGAACACGAAAAGTTGCTGTGAATAACTGAATACATTCGTCTCTGCTGGAACTGTTGACTATTTTTACTGAACCACTTTGTTCTTGTTGATAATATTGTGTTATTACTAGATATTTCTGTTTCGTTGGAAATTACTGAACATTATTCTTCGGTTAACTGTAGAACCTGTTTTGGGATGTTCTCATCAAGAAGAAACAAGTCAGTCCGAGTTAAGTTGGTTGACAAAAAGAATGAACTTAAAGATTTCCTTCCTCTTGCACAGCAAATCACTTCTAATACACCCTTATTTCACGGTTCTGAAGTTAATAATGTCAGTAAATATAACAGTATTGGTTGTACTAGGTCTCGGCAAAATAACTAACATAGTGCAGAAAACCATACTAGAAATTGCGGTAAGTATAGTTAGAATAGAAACACTTGAAGATTAAATGTTCATCTTGAATTAAAATCATTTAAGATCCTTCATAGCAAGGGCAAAGTTAAGCCAGCATTGTCCCCGACGGTTATAGGGAGTGACTACCCGAAAGCAGAAATTAGGTATTTCGATGCAGAACCGAGGTCCTATTGGATATTCGTGTGTTCGGTTTTAATATTTGTGGTTTTGACGACGAATGATGATGAACAATAAATACCATATCTCTCCCATTACTATAAAGGTAAAATCAAGATGGCTATTGAAAATCGACTACAGTTATAGTTATCTGCAATGTATAGTAGAAACTGCAAAATTTTTAAGCGGCGCATAGGAAAAGCTCGTAAGACTACTATAGACCCATTACTGTAATCCAAAACAGTCACATTTAAGCAGTTTAATAGAGATGTGATTTGTGTACTGATTTATAGTGTACGTGCTGATACTATGTTAAGCCCATATAATTTGTTCCAGCCTCTAGACAAATCTTTTCATTGTTCTCAAGCCTGTCAATTATTCGCTTATTAATTTTGTTTTTATGTGGTGGTATTTAGTGCATTTCGTATCTTACGCACCATATGTCTGTGACTTACTTTGGTCGACTATAAATATCGATTCACGCTTGGCTAAAGTGAGCTGGCTCACTTGACTGCACTGCGCGTCGTTTAGCTTTGCTCCCTTCTCTTAGCTTTCTTTGCTTCGTTTCTCCGGCCGTTTGTTTGAATCAACGATTGTACGAAATATACGTATTAAAACATTTGTAGCGGTAAATAAGTCCCCAAAATAAATATCTCTGTAAGTTTTCGACATTGAATGCTGATCACATTGGTTTTAATGGACTCACCTAGCTGAAGGCGCTCGGTCATGTATCCGCACCAGATCACAAGTGGGAACACCGTGTTCAACAACCCTTGCAATCGCTAGCCAGATTAGATCAGACGATTCTCGATATATTGATAGCCTATCAAATATATATTACGTACGTCAAGTTTGTTCCAGACGTCAGAAGTTTCCTAACTGTGCCCTCAGAGCAAATTTCTGAAGAAGAAAAAAAGAGAAATAGAGGAGCAGCAAGGCAATTGGATATGAACGCCAAACGTTGCTTAACATAGTGTAGTAGGACGGACAGATGTATAATAAATTAAAATAAATTCATATTGTCTCTTGTTAGAGTGAAATGAAGTCAGAGGCTCCATATTAGAGAATGTGGTAATAAAGAACAATGAGTTGTGTCGTTTAACAAGTTGGAGTAAGCTCACATGAAGGAAGGGAAGTCAAGGTTGGTACAGGGAAAGCGGTTTATTAGAAGGGAGTGTGTGTATAGAGGGTGAAGTGTTAAGAATACTAATGACTATATGTTTTATCATCTAACATCTTTTATTTTTTGTCCATCCGATGCCAGCCACACAATCCTAGTGCAAAAGCCCGAGTTAAAATGTTATAGGTTGCCTCAATAGAATAGCTAGTCCAGCATAAAATTGGGAACATGAGTCTGAATGGTGAGCCCAGGAAGACAATCTATATCTCAGATTGACTGTCTTATTCTCAATCATAAAGAGCCTGATACATACGAAATGTTCTGCCCCACAAATATGGGTGGATTGAAGTCATTGCCCTCACCATCAATGCTTGCTGATCAGTAACTTTACCCTCCCTCCTTTTGTGATGTTAGGCTCATTGAAGCTTATTTTTGGATATATGTCATACCTCACACAGTCATCTGTGTTTCACATCCTGTTGGAAAACAATATTTCTATAAGTACCACTTTACAAGCTTATCAGACAGTTACAAGCTATGGACTGTGGGTAAGGCATCGATGCAGTGCTTTTGTTGACTATAGTTTAAAGTATAGTTTGCCAATCATAGTATAAGCATTAAGAATGGTGTAATGTAGGATGGTTGTTTATTAAAGCAGGCGTAAAGTACACAAGTATACGAGTTGTAGATAAGGTAACGAGTGGAGAAATAATATTAATTGCTAGTCAACATAGTGTACAGAAGAGTAAAAAGCTGATAAAGAACAAACAGGAAGAAACTCACACTAACTTGGTGCTGATGTTATTTTGTGTTGTCCTACCCAGTTGATTAACTCCGCCTGTAGCTCTAATAGGGTTACTGCCGGTCCCAAGCCCGGGTAAAGGAGGAGGGTTGGGCATGGGGTTAGCGTCCCCATCCCGTAGAAAACTAACTCGCTAAAAAAACGCTTACCAGAAAAAATTATTCAAACCATTTAAACTCTGCCCTGGGAGTTAGAAGGTCTTCAGTTAGAAGAATTATGACGCTTCATGGTGAAAGCCGAGTTCCTTCGGAAGCCACGAGGCCGATGCCCCTTCTAACAACCAGAGCAAAAATTTTTATAGGTACATGGAACGTTCGAACAATGTGGGAAACCGGGAAGACCAGTCAAATAGCAATGGAAATGAGGAGATACAACTTAGCAGTACTGGGAATCAGCGAAACCCACTGGACCCAAGCTGGACAGAAAAGGCTAGCTACGGGAGAGATGCTGCTATACTCCGGTCACGAAGAGGACAATGCTCCACACACTCAGGGAGTCGCTCTTATGCTGTCCAAAGTAGCACGAAATGCACTTGTAGGATGGGAGTCTCACGGATCCAGAATCATCAAAGCATCATTCAAAACAAAGAAGGAGGGGATCTTAATGAATATTATCCAATGTTATGCACCCACCAATGATAGCAACGACGACATTAAAGATCAGTTCTACGAGCGGCTACAGTCAATCATTGAGAAATGCCAAGAAAGGACCTAACTATTCTGATGGGAGATCTAAATGCCAAAGTCGGAATAGACAACACCGGATATGAAGATATCATGGGACGACATGGACTGGGACAGAGAAACGAAAATGGAGAAAGATTTGCAAATCTATGTGCATTCAACAAATTGGTCATAGGAGGCACAATATTTCCACACAAGCGTATACACAAGGCTACATGGATCTCACCGGACCACACTACAGAGAACCAAATAGATCATATTTGCATCAACAAAAAATTCCGAAGGACAATGGAAGATGTAAGAACCAGGAGAGGTGCTGACGTAGCTTCAGATCACCACCTAGTTGTAGCCAATTTAAAACTGAAGCTAAAAAAGAACTGGACAAGTGGACAAACAGCACTACAAAGGTTCAATACAGCCTTCCTTCGAGATACTGACAAACTCAATGAATTCAAGATAGCTCTCAACAACAGGTTCCAAGCCTTACAAGATCTACTGAAAGAAGAAGAAACTAGTATGGAGGACAACTGGAAAGGCATCAAGGAAGCATTAACTTCAACGTGTCAAGAGGTTCTGGGCCTAAAGAAACACCATCATAAGGAATGGATCTCTATAGAAACACTGGACAAGATCAAAGAAAGGAAGAACAAGAAGGCAGCAATTAACAACAGCCGAACACGAGCAGAGAAAGTTCAAGCACAAGCTGAATACATAGAAGCAAACAAACAAGTGAAGAGGTGCATTAGAGCCGACAAGAAGAAATACGTGGAAGAACTAGCAACGACGGCAGAAAAAGCTGCTAGAGAAGGAAATATGAAACAGCTTCACGATACAACGAAGAAACTAGCAGGGAAATACAGTAAACCAGAGAGGCCGGTCAAAGACAAAGAAGGCAAGCCAATCACCGAAATTCAACAACAGCGTAACAGATGGGTGGAATACTTCGAGGAACTCCTGAATAGGCCGGCTCCAATGAATCCACCGGACATCGAAGCAGCACACATAGATCTTCCTATAGATGTCAACCCACCAACGACGGAAGAAATTAGAATGGCCGTCAGACAAATCAAGAACGGGAAAGCAGCAGGACCCGACAACATAC